GTGTGTTAGTACCTTAAGCTCAATATTATACACACACATTATATTGGTTTTCATATATATATTTTATATATATATATATATATATATATATATATATATATATATATATATACACAATTTAGTTTTGGTTTCCATGTATATATAGTTTCATATATACATACATGTTTGGTTTCCATGTATATATATAGTTATATATATACATACATAGTTTTGAGTTTTCATGTTTATAAATATTAGATTACATATTTCATATTTATTATTGTGTTTTGGTTTAACTATATAGATATGAAACAAATATACATTAATATACATCCTTATATGTTTCATACTCTATTATGTTTAAATATATATTGCATAGAATATGCAATTTTGTGAAAATATTATTTTCATAGTTTATGGACTTAACAATAATCATATACATCTTTTATTAAGTCTACAAAATTATTTTGTAATGTTTCAAAACATGGTTAAGCTAAAATATCAAAACTCATATGTTTACACTTTCATGTTTTGGACTATTTTGCAAAATGATGATATTTTTATTTGGGAGGTCCTTTTTGAAAACTAGTTTTTGTAGCATGCTTATTATCATGTCTACAATCATTTTCCTAAGTTTTACATTTTTCTAAATTTATTTGATATTTTTAAACCCAGTTTAAAGTTGAGTTTTTCTGTGCACTTCAGGTTTGTGCATGTTTAGTCGACTCATTAGTCGATTCATAAGTCGACACATAAGTCGACCCACGAAGTGCATCACAATTATGATTTTTCTTCTGCTGATTCGACTCATATAAGCCGACTCATTAGTCAACTCATAAGTTGACTCATGAGTCGACTCATAAGTCGACTTATGAAAGAGCTGTTGTATAGTAACGGCTAGTTTCCAGCAGTGTTTTCTGGGAGTTTTTTTGTCTTTTTAGTTGGGTTTTTACTGATGTTTTGGGTTACTATAAATACCCCCTTGTTCTCATCTTTCATACTATCTAAGAAAATGTTTTAAACAAGTTTAAAGGGTTTTAAACAAGGGTTTAAGTTTGGTTTAGTGTTTGTTTAAAAAGCTTTTAAGCAATTGAGGGTTTGAGTTTGTGAATTCAATTCCATAAGAGCTTGAGGAGATCATCTATTGGAGTTTGAGCAATCAACTATTCTCCTTCCATCTCTTGTCATCTATTGAGAAGTTTTCTAAACTCTTTTCTAGCTTTATATTTATTTGTTTGATTATCATCTTATTAAAGCTAGTTTTATATTGAGTTTAGGATTAATCTTATTGTTACACACACACCCACCCACTTGAGCTTATTGTATTTGCATTCATAATATATTTGGGGTTGTGAGAGATAGTAACATTGAGTTGAGCCTAATTGAGTTCTCACCTTATTTAGAGAACAATCATTTGTTGTGTACCTAATTGTGAAGTTCACTTTGTAATACACTTGTACACCGAGAGGAGTGTGTAGTGAGGACAGAGTCGATACCAAGAGGAGTGACATCGGTGGCCTAGTGAGAGGTGATAATTCTGAGCACTTGAGGGAGTCGATACGTGAGGACCAACGCTTGAGGTTGTTGCTTGTGTATGTACATTGTAAGGATTTGTGAGAGTTATCGGTTGACTTGATAACCGAGTGTGTAGAGTTTTCGATAAGCTAGAAAACCGAGTGTGTAGATAAGTTCCGGCTTCCAAACTGGGTTGTGTAATGGATTCTCCCCGGGAGTGGGGAGCGGAGACGTAGGGCGGAAGGTCCGAACTCCGTGATCATTTCCTTGTGTTTGAGTTTGGCATTGGCGTATTTATTCTTGTATATTATTATATCGCCATTATTACATGTTAATTTTGTTTATCCTTGTTTATATTATATATCCTTGCACATATCTTGTAGCATATCATACTTGTTAGGATATATTTGTTAGTAAGTTTTAATTGATATTTAAATCGGATTAGATTAGCATAAACCTTATTCACCCCCCTCTAGGGTTCTTTCCTTGTGGCATTAAGGTCTAACACCCCCCCCCCCAAGGTGGCGTTCAGAACTGTTCTCCCCTCCTCCTCTTTAGCGTCACCACCGAAGCTCGCCCTTGCTCAGCGTCACCGCCGAAGCTCGCCCTCGCCCTCGCCATCCCCTCGCCCCCGCCATCACCTCTTCATCCTGCTCTCCATCACTTGATATTGCCGCCATCGAGATCTCCTCCCCCTAGGCTCCTCGCCCTCGACATCGACATCCCCTCGCCCTCGACATCGACATCCCCTCACCCTCGGGTCTCACCTCCCCTCGTCATCAGCGTCACCGCCAGATCCTCGCCCTTGCCGCCGCCAGCATTCGAGCTCAGCCCTCAGGTCCATCACCATCGCCGAAGATCGCTTCGACCTCTTCATCAGCCCTCATGACTTCGAACAAATTGAAAACTTCGACATCTTTGATTTCTTCAAAATCAAAGCTTCCTCTTCTAAATGCAATAATCCTCCAACTCCGTAAGTAAATGTTTCTGTTAATATGCGTCGAAAGCTAAAATTGCTACCTCTGCCTACTGATGTCTGTGTCAACAAGTCATTGCTTGATGAGATATATCCTCTTGCATGTGTTTCTCCCATTCCCCAAATCTGTTATGTGTTATGTAGTTGTTTATTTAGATATAGAAACCCCATATGAAACAGTGTCGGTCCAATGAGTGGGATGATTATTTTTTATCAGAGTACCCCTGTCATATGTGGTGGTGTTATAAGCCATGAGGTATAATGTTTGTGTTAATAAACTTGTAAATTTTATTTTGATTATTGTCATATCGAGTATCTATTTAATTTTTAGGTATATTGTTTGTGTTAATATACGTCTTAATTTGCCCAAATATATTTAATTTTAACTATTTCTGAATTATAATTTTCTTGTAGGGCTATGATAAAGCATTTGAGAATTCCATCCAATTTGTGTTATTTTTGAGATTTAATTGATAAGCGAATAATATTGGATGAAAGATACTTAAAAGCCCTTGAGACGACACATTTTCACAACTTTCTCAAGATACTCACATCCTTGAGAAATGAGCAAATAGCAATTGATTGCTTGATTCAAAATTTTAATTCCGATAAATACTCATTCTTGATTGGAAATAAAAATTGTTTGTTTGGTATAGATGATATTCACCGAATTACCGGTTTGCCAAATGAGTGAATTCCGATAAAAATGAGTGGGACATCGTCTAATACAATCTACACCTATTTTGTAAAGAATTATAAGACACTCAAGGAGAAGAAGAGTAGTAGCTCTAAAGGCAAGAAGAAGGTGGTGATTTGGGGGAAGCGCGATAGAATGGCCGAGATGATTGTAGATATGAATATTGAAGACCCTATAATATGTGTTAAACTTATTGTAGCTTTCATTATCGGCTTCATATTATACCCGCGGACATGTAAGACATGTCCCTTGTGGGCGTTTAGATATGCGGAGCAGTTATCAACTTTGAAAAAATATAATTGGTGTCATGCGGTGTTTATTTTTCTTTGCAAAGAGATGAATAAAGCAAAGAAGTCTCTTAGTATGAGTGGATTAGGTCAGCGCTCAAATGGTGGGTACATGGGTGGTTTTTCCTCCATTTTACTGGTGAGTTACATGAACATTATTTTGTATATCTTTTCATGGGTACATGGGTGGTTTTTCCTCCATTTTACTGGTGAGTTACATGAACATTATTTTGTATATCTTTTCAATTTGATAATGATTATTGTTTATGCAACATTATTTTGTATATCTTTTCAATTTGATAATGATTATTGTTTATGCACATGCTAATGTATAGTTTCTTTTTTGTAGGTTTGGTTTTATGGAAAAAGTGGGGGAATTAGAGTATACTTCAGATATTGAAAGGTTACCGCCGCTCTTTTGTGTGAAGAATACCGGAAAGTGGAGGAGGACTACTATGAACAAATTATATAGAGATCTGAAGTTTCTTACTGATAATGGCCTAGAGAATACTCCTCTTATTCATAGGGCATCACCAAGAGTATTTGTACATATCTTTGCTCTAAGAGTTCATTATTTTATGTCTCATTTTTTAGTATATATGTCTGCAATTGTTATCGAATAAGTACTAATACTTGTAATTTTTTATCTTATAGGAATCAAGGAAAGCTGAATTAATTGCCTTAATTGAGGAGAAGACGTACGAGTTGAATGAACTCACTACAGAATTAAGAGAATTAGAATTATCGTAGTGCTAGATACAAAAATAAAAACAAGGAGAAATATGATGACGGAAATTTAAATGAAGAAAATAAAAGCAAAGAGGATATGGAAGCTAATGAATATGTGAATTTGGAAGAAACCGGGGAAGCCGATATTGATGATGACTTTGTGATGAGCCCAAGAGACATGAAAATTTTAGAAGATGCTCGGTGAGTTTAGTTTTTTCAATTCTTTTGCAATTTTACTTTTTATACTTTTCGTATAATTCTTATGAAATTAACTCTTTGTTAATTATATGCACTTCAACGCTATAGAGATGTTTCTCAAAAAGAAGAAGATGGTAATAAAAATAAGAGAGAAACCCCATCAATCAAACGGGCTGCCAGAAAGAGGCAAATTCCCCTCGCCGCATCATTCCCCTCGCCGCATCATTCTTTGTATCCAAACGCACTGTTAGTGATATGGGTCATAAATAGGCAAACGACCATGACCAATCCCCTTTTGGTTCAAGTTGAAGTATATATGGAGCATTATTTTTATACTTACATTACCTTTTTAATTAAGATGTTACCAGCCTGTTCGCTGTATTATTATGAACCTAGTGGCTGCTCTTGCAAGTTACTCTTAGCTCTAATAATTATGTCTTCTGTCACCGAATTCAAACAAGGTGCTATCCCAAGGTCATGAAAATACGGCCCTTCACCTTCCAACAACCCACTTGCACCCACCCATGAACTGCATAATTTAATACAAAAAAAACCACCATCAGGATTGTATTATGTCCCACCGAATAAATTGCAACCAAATCATATTCATTTTCTTCTCATTAAAAATTCATTTCTTTCTTTTCGTTTCTTTTTAATTTTAGAATGTGGACAATATGGTTAACTTAGACACAAGTGTAGGTGAAGGATCCGGGATTTAAGATGAAATTGTTAAAGTTTGTTAAGAAGTAAATATTCAGCTTACTTAATTAGTTTAGTTAATTACTTAAACCTCACTCTTTTGAAAAAGCTGTATAAATAAGGCTGCAGCAAACAAAGTTAGCTTCTTGTTCTTATTGTTTGATCTCTCCTGCAATGGCTTTCTTCGTCGTAGTTGTGGCATTTCTCTCTGCTTTTGTGAGGAACTCTGTTGCGGGTGGCGTCTACAAAGTTGGTGATGATAATGGATGGACTATCTTGAACCATGTCAACTACACTAAGTGGGCTTCTTCCAAAACTTTCAAGGTTGGAGATCAAATAGGTGGGTTTTTGTTTTCTTTAATTCCTTTTATCTTGATCTTCTAATTGCATTTGTTTGGATCACTGAATTCTAAAATGTATCAGGTGACGTCTAGGATGCTCAGTTTTCTACTAGCGGACGATTTCATTTCTTCAGCCATCGCCAAGTTGAACTTAGTAACCCTAGTTCCATTGTTGCAAAAAGAGTTCTATTGTCGCAAATAGACATCTTGAAGAAAAATCTATTGTTGCACATTGACACCTGAAAATAGTCGAAAATTTTCACTCTGGGGTCTATCTGCAACAATAGAACTATATACACAGGGGTAGTAAGTTCAATTTGGCGATAGTTCAGCGGAGCCTAACCGTAATTAACCCTGTTATGCTTATAGGTTACATTTACACGTCATAAACAAATCAATTAACATCATATGTGACTCCTATTTTGGGTTATTTTACGCAGTATTTATATACAACAAGCAATTCCACAACGTACTCCAAGTGAGCAAAGAAGACTACCACTCTTGCAACCCGAACTCTCCCATAGCAACCTACAAGTCAGGAAATGACACCATCCCGATCAAGAGAAAGGGCCACTACTTCTTCATCTGCGGCGCCCCCGGCCATTGCGCCGCCGGCCAGAGCGTCGATATCCGCATCCCAAAATCCAGCGTCCATGCTGCTTCTTCTAATCCGGCATCGCCCCCTTCGACTTTACCGTCGTCGGGATCGCCTCCAGTGACAACTTCTGTTCCTGGACCGGCGCCGGATAGCAGCAAACGGAGACTGTTTGGGCAAGGGATTGTGGATGGCGGTTGCTTCCGTTGCTGGTGTTGCTGCGGTGCAGAGTTTTATGTCTGCATAAGTTGGGGTGTCTTGTGGAATAAAATTTTGTTATTTTGGTGAGACTGGATCATTGTAAGCCTTTTTTCGAACTTGGGTATCTGTTTAGAAAATTTTAAGTCTGGCGGCGTATACATAATTAAGAATTGAATCTTTGTGTCCATCGCTTTAAGTAATATGTCCAGAATATTTGACGCCATTTTCAGCCCGTCCGGTACATTTCGAAATTGAGTTTGAAGTAGACGCACATGACATCGGGTAATATTTGCGCTCACAATTTAGCTCAGTTCACATGCAGATATTTGCGTACCGATTCTCTTGTTGGTCTAGACCTTATCTGTAATCAACTTATTCTTAAAGCATATCGATAGGATCTTCACAATTCCGAAAAAAAAAGGATGCACATGAGGGAAAACAAACCCACATTCATATAATAAAATCTTTCCATCCTCTCCCCGTGGACGTAGGCAATTTATCTAACCACATAAATTCTCTGTGTTGATTTGATTTGTGTCGTATTTTTGGTGATTGAACTCGTGTTTGGCTTAGTTCTCTTCTCTCATCGTTCGTGGACTCGTTTGGTTGTCGAGCACGCTTCCGCACGATGCACAACAATTGGTATCAGAGCTCCAAATTTGAGATCTAGGATTTCGGCATTGGATGGTGGAAGATTCATTGTGGAAGCTTGGTTCTTAAAGCTCTAGGCTTTGGTGGAGATAGCGTTGCGGAGTTACTGTTGAGATCTCGCTTTCTTTGTGTGGTTAGGAGATAGTGTTGGAATCCTATTTAGGATTCAACTGAGTAATTTTTCAATTTTTATTAAAGTTTGAATCTTTCTTTACAATTTGAAGTGGTTTGCAATAGGAGAAGAAGTTGGTAAAAGCAGCAAGATGATGACGAGTACAGTTCAGGTTGGATTTCAAAATACTAAGATTGGTGAAGTATGACGGCAAAATTAATTTTGATTTGTGGATGAGCGACGTACAGGACGCTCTCAATGCTTAAAATTTGGAAGAGACTATTATGATCCATGAGAGGCCACCGAAATACGATGAGGCGATATGGGACAAAATGAATAGAAACGCTTGTGGGGTGATCAGATCTTGGTTGGAATAAGAGCCGAAATACGATGTGATTGGGGTAACGTCTGTGATGCATATGTGAAAGATTCTTAACAACAAGTACCTTACAAAGAGTGTTAAGAATCGGTTGCACTTGCTGCAGAGATTATTCAGATTTCAGATGTCTAGGGGCACCTCACTTGCGGCTCATGTGAATAACTATACAAAGTTTCTGTCGGATTTGGCGAACATGGATGAGAAGATAACGGACAAGTACAAGGTAATTATCTTATTAGGATCCTTATCCGATGAGGAGTATGATACCTTCGTGTTCACTTTGTTGAACAGGAGATCTTCCATCACCTACAGTGAAGTGACTAACGCACTGACGAACTACGATTTGAGGAGGAAGAACAAACAGACTTCTCGTGCTAGCACTTCAGGAGAGACCTTGTCGATGAGAGATAGAAGTTCATATCCAAGAGGTGATAATAGGAACAGGTCAAAGTCAAGGGGCCACCACCAGTTAGCGAAGAACTAGTGTGCGTTCTGCAAGGAACAAGAACATTGAAAGAGAGATTGCCTGAAACTCAAGGAGAAGGAGAATAGCAAGAAGAAGGACCCAAAGACCAATGAGGTGAACATCACGAGAGGTGATGATTTCGATGATTCGTGCTTTTCTTTATTAATTACTTCAGAGGTGAACCATGTTGATGCATCTGATTGGATGCTTGATTATGGTGTTACTTATCATGTGACTCCCCGGCAAGATTGGTTTGCATTATTCGAGAAACTCGATAGGAGCGTGGTAGTCATGAGAAATGATCAATCATGTAGCATTTTGGGATAGGTACTATCAGGATTCGGATGCACAATGGAGTAGTTTGTGAATTGAATGAAGTGATATTTGTTCCTCAGTTGAAGAAGAATCTTATTTCAGTTGGAGCTTTGGAGGCGAAGGGATTCAAGGTGATCTTTGAGAATGTTATAGCAAAGGTTACTAAGGGATCTTTAGTGGTGATGAAGGAAGTCCGTAATAGGAATTTGTATTATCTGAAGGGGAGCACCGAGATTGGCCATGTAGCTTCAGCTATTTTAGAGGCGGACGCGAGCAGGCTTTGGCACTATAGGTTGGGGCACACATGTAAAAAGTTACTGCAAACTTTGTACAAGCAGGAACTATTGAAGAGAGCAAAGAGTGGAAAAGTTGAGTACTGTGAGCATTATGTTCTTGGCAAAAAGACGAAGGTAAAGTTCGGGACAACCATCCATAGGACGAGGGTCATCTTGAACTACGTGGACACGAATGTTTTGGGTCCCACCAAGACGGCATCACTTGGTAGTTGATATTGGTTCGTTACATTTGTAGATGACTATTCTAGACGTTGTTGGGTGTACACCATGACGAAGAGGAGTGAAGTCTTAGAGATATTTGTGGAGTGAAAAAAGAGATTAGAACTATAGACTGGAAGAAAGATTAAGACATTATGATCCGACAACGACGGTGAGTATACTTCTGACCTCTTTCAACAGCTATATCGAGACGAGGGTATAGAGAGGCACTTCACAGTTAATCATACACCGTAGCAGAATGGGGTGGCAGAAAGGTTGAATTGGTCTTTGTTGGAGAAGGTTCGATGTTTATTATCGCAGAGTGATTTGGAGAAGATCTTTTGGGCTGAGGTACTTTCTTATGCGAACCACCTCATTAATAAGCTGCTTTTATCTGCAATTGAGGTGAAGACCCCTATGGAGATATAGTCGGGAGAGCTAACACACGACTTGTTTGCGTCAAAAGTCGGTTCTGTTGAGGAATTCATTATATCTTCAAGCGATTACAATAAATTCAAAGAAATAGTCTTTTTATAAGACCTCTTTTACACAACAAAATTAAAAATTACAACTCTTGAGAAACAAACGCAGGATCGTTGTTTGGATCGCTGCTTGCGTGGGATCTTTACCTGTGCCGGGAGCGCTTTGACTCGTGGACTACCAAATCACAGATTCTGATTGAACCGTGAGGGGTTTGGGGATCTTTCCTTCGTTTATCGAAGTAAAGATTTGAAAGCGAATATCTTATCGATGTAAGATGTTCACTCTTCCAAAGATCAAGTCTGAGCTTAGATCTCTAGGAATCGCCAAAAGCTTCTTGAGGATGTTTGTGAAGAAGGAAGACTATCTTTCTTGCTCTAATTCACCAAAACTCAAGGCTCTCTGCTCTAATCTGCTCTGGAAATGCTCCGCCCTTGTCAATGATGGCCATAGGGGGTATTTATAGCCTCCTTGGATGATAACTAAAGAAATAGTCGATCAACAAATGCCTCTTTAGGCGTGGCAGTTGATGCTGTCGCGGCTAAAGGCGCGACAGTCGACACTGTCGCGGCCAAAGAGCGCGGCAGTCGACACTGCCGGGGCTAAAGGGGCAGTTACACCCACGTTCACTCGTGCTTGAAACCGTTCTCCCACGACCTTTAACCACCTTTTTCGTGGTTTAACTGCTCGTCCACGTCAGCACACGTTTTATCTCTGATATGCCGCCACGTGGACTTCAAATAATCATCGAATAACTGCCATATAACTGTCACAACATCTTCTTGTAATAGCCGCGGCACCATGGTCTGTCGCGCCTTAGCCGCGGCACTATGTCCTGCCACGCTGCCATGTAGTTGCTTGATGATGTGTATAACGTTCTTCTGTGTTATCTTGAGTGGTGTTTGGACGTCTGTAAGTATTTTTTGACGCCTACAGATACCCCCTCCAAAGTATCTCAGACTCATCATTTCTCAGAGAGGGGTCTGGGACACTTTGGATATGAGAAGCTTTCCCTGCAATCTCTCCAGTGCTTCGTTGAGGAAATTGCGTAGAACGGTTTGTGAATTGCTTCAATCCTTGACTTCTTCATCTTTTAGCCTATTCAGTACTTTGTAGAATAGCTAAAATTCTTTCGGTGCTGCGTTTATCGCGTGGCCGTTGTCGAAGTCTCGAATTAAAACTGCTGTCGAAGAATTTGAGAAATAGTTTATACTCATATACTATATTGGAGTGTTCGGGAAATAGTTTAACCTCATATACCCGTTGGGAGGTTCAAGGAGATGCAGTTTATACTCATATACTCATCGGAGTGTTCGGGTATGCGTTCCAAATACAGCAGGAGATGTATGTGTTCAAACGCCGAAGAATTATTGCACAGTGCTTCTGTACGTCAGAGTGAACCATGGCAACGTCAGTTGCCGCGACGACATATACTGCCGCGCTCAAGCGCGACAGCGTAGAGTGCCGCGCTATAGCGCGACAGCATAGAGTGTCGCGCACCGTTCGGCCAGTTGGGCTATAAGTTTAATGCTGGGCTTTTTCGGGTCATTCCTGGTCTCTTGTTTGTTGGTAGAGATAAACCCAAAATTGGAAAGGAAGAATTTTATATTCTATCTCCTGGTGCAAAAGAAACTCAAAGTGGGATCTCCACTTAGAGAATCTAGATTGGTTTGAATAATCCTAACTGTCATAAGGTTTGACTATTCAACTCAAAAGGGGACCTTTTGTTCGCAAAATGAATCAAAAGGAGGTTTTGGCTGTGGTCCTTATAACTGTAGTAAGGTTTGACCAAGTGGGAGTTTTGAGACGATCCTAACCATTTAAAGATTTGATCGTTCAATTTGTGGACCTCTCGTTCATGGAAGGAATCGAGAGGAGATTTTGTCTTTGGTCCTAACTGTTTAAAGGTTTGACCAAATGGGAATTTGAGACGATCCTAACTGGTTTAAGTTGTAAGGGAAGACTGATCCAACAAAGTGATCGAATCTCATCTCAGCAAAAGAGTATTCAGAAATCACCGTGGGGATGTAGTGTTTATCACCTTGTTTGTAATGATCGGGTTATCCCTAAGAAAATTACATATATCATTCTTTCGAGAACTTCCCGTTACATGAACCATCCACCCCCAGCTTCCTTTGTGAAACTGGGTCTATCATTATATTCAGCTGCATGATCAGGTTATCCTTAAGAGTACTATGCATGGCGCTCTCCAGGAATTTCCCGTGAAAGAAAGGAAATAGTTTAGACTCATATACCTGTTGGAGTATCGATGAGCAGTTTATACTCGTAT